GGGAAGGCCGGCTGCCCCCACCCCTGCTCCCCCGCCGAGCTGTTGCAGAGGGGATTGCTGCACCCAGGGGAGAGCTGCTGCTCTGTGCCGGAGGTGTGTTGGATTTGGAGTGTTCTGTGTCCTGGGTGCTGCTGCCTGGGACTTGCTCTGTGCCCCAGGACTGTGGACGTGTGACCTGCTGCTAAATATGGGGCCCTCGCTGGCCACTGCCTCTCCCTGGGGCTTGCAGAGGAGGATGCTGTAGGACCCGACCCCAGGGTGATGGCCACCACGGTCCCGCAGCTCTGCACCCCAGGAAAGTCACTCATGACCAAGGGCAGAGCTGCGGTCCGGGTCCCGGTGCGGTGCTGGAGCAAGGTGGTGGGGGGACCCAGCGCCCTCTCCGCCGCTGCGCTCGGCACCGACATTGCCTTGTGTTTGGAGTAAAAGATGTTCTTGTGGAGGTGTGGATGGTGTGTCCCTGTCTGCGGGGAGGGGGTTCTGCCAGGGGCACGCTGCCTGTGTTGAGCAGCCAAGCGTTGCCGGAGGGGAAGGGCAGCAGAGGACGGCCCCAGTGGGGCGGTACGGCCATAGCATTAGCAGTAAGCAGGGAAAGTTAATCCCTGGCCCCAGCACGCTCCTGATGGGAGTTCACGCAACTCTGCAGCTGGAGCCAGGCGCCGCTGTTGAGAGCCTCCTGGGCTGGGCACTGCGGGAAGGGGCTCAGCACAGCGCAGGCAGGCAGCGACAGGGGTACAGGCAGAGCTTCTTGTCTGCCCACGGAGAGGGAGGTGGGTGCCAGGCTGGGGAGCTTCCAGAGCTTGGGAGGCAGGGGCAGCAGCCCTGCTCCAGTGGGTCGAGCAGAACCTGGGGACAGCACCACCACCCCAGTGCTGGGGACCCCTCCCAGCTGGGCAGACACCCTTGGCTGGAGGGGGGCTCACTGGGACATGCAGCAGTTGGGCTGCCCACAGTGGGGTGGGGGGTGGGGTGGGGGTGGTGGTAAAAAAAGAGATGCAGACAAGCAGTTTCACAGGGAGTGTTCCCCTCCTTTAATCCTCTCACCACAACACAGCAGTAAAGCAGCCACGGGGGTTCATGCCGTGCTGGCTGCCCTTGCAGGGTGCACCTGCTGCACCACAGAGCTGGGCATGCCTCTTGTCCCGCACTGAGGCCACAGGGACAGGGGAC